CTGGGGACGCGGGGAGCGCTCCTGCCTTGGGGGGAAGCCTGGCTGAGCGGCTCCGTGTCCCGGGGGCCACGGGCAGGTGGGGGCAGCACCTACACGATGTCATTGAGCTCCAGCCGCGTGTCCGGGGGGGGGTTGATCAGGACGTAGGACAAGGTGTTCTGGTGGTCATTCATCTCATCTGCGAGAGGAGGAAAAAGGGCTGGTGAGGGATGCCCCGACGGACGCCCCGACGGACACCCTGGCAGCCCTCACTCCAGCAGCCCCGCTGAAGCGTCCCCAAGCACCTGGCTCGTCCCCAAGGACAGCAAATGAGACCCTTTATGGAGGAAGGCTATGGGCAATGGCATTGCCACCGGGAGAGCACCGAGAGCATCGCTGCCACCTCCCTCTGTGCCTCCCCAGCTGCTCCCCCACCACAGCACGGTCCAGGGGACTGGCAGACGTAACACTTCAAAATCCCCGCTCCCTCACAAAAAAAGTAAGATGTCTTACCTTGGTTTAGTGCAAAAAAGGGAACAGGTTAGTCTTGCCACGTTAGGTACAGCACAAGAACTCCAACCACTGGGTCAGGGCAGCCAAATCCCCCCTGGGCTGCTCGAACGCTCTGCCCACTTCTCCCCTTCTTGAATTACTTAATTTAGCATCATCCAGCAAGAGGATTTAGTTCAACGATTGCTTCTTTCTCCTGCCCAAGGGAAACCGCCTCTGTGGAGTTTCAGAGCCACCAATGCCATTTGGGGATGGCTCTAAACTACAGTGACCTCCTGGGGGGGCTCCGGGCCAGCAAGAGCTGCACCCATGGGTGCTGCGTGGGACGAACGGGCAGCCTCGAGGCCAGGGGGGGGCCCTGTGCTTTCCGAAATAGCTGAGAACAAGATCATGGGTGAAATGAATGGGGGTGCAAGGCTGCGGGCGGCCGGGGAGGGGGTGAAAGCTGCGACAAATAACACCATTTACAGACTGAATGACTGGGTGCGGATGGACAGGATGGAGAGGGGACGGACAGACGGACGCCAGGGGCAGCATGATGAGCGCAGCAGGACACCAGCTCGCTGCAAGGCTTGTCACTGGGACACCTCTCCGGGCTATCAGAAAGGCCCCTCTGAGCAGCATTGGTGCACACCAGGCGGTTGCCGATCTCGGACAAACGGAGCTCGGTCTGGCAGGCAGCGGGGGGGCCCGGCTGCGGGGACAGGCGTTAACTCGGGGCTTCTCCCTGTGACCTGTCCTGCCGCTCCCACCACCCCGGCCCTGCTGTCCCCCTGCCCCGGCCGCGATCCGGAGCGGATCCCCCGCTCAAAGGCTGCCCTGCCACATGGCGGGACAGGGGCCGAGTTCCCTGCCATAACAGCGTCCACGGGTGCACAATCGCCCCC